TATATATATATAGATATAATAGTTTATATATGAGTTTAACTTTTATACATTAATAATTATAAAAAAAATTATACTACCATGTCACCTGCACCGTCCATAAAAAGTGTGAATGAAAAAATACATTATCTATCATGTCACTGATAACGTGAAAAGATAACTATAGTGTCCCGTCCGTAATGTTACATTTCACACTTTCTTATAACAGGTTAAATCAGTATACAAAAGTTAAATCTCTAATATATACGGAAGTAACATTATCCCTTTTAACAAAATAAAATAAAATGAAAACCTGAGTTTGGGGCTCGTTTGGTTTGGACACTTCAGGAATATTTCTTGCTGTTGCATGGACAAGTACAAGTCCAAACACAAACATTACGTACCAACTTGCCATTTTTTCTACTCTTACCCCTCTCTCTCTCTCTCTCTCTCTCTCTCTCTCTCTCTCACAATGGGATATGTTTTACTTCTGCTGCAGTGTGGTAAGGAAACAAATGGTGATGAACAGGGGTTTTTAAAGGAGCGAAAGAAGGGAGAGGACAGTTGTGAGGGCAAATATAGTAAATGCATGGTATTAAACGCAGCCCTAACAATCTCGAGAGTGGCATTCTTTCTGTATTGCACAGTGTTAGGTAGATAAAAAGAAGGGATCATTTAACGTTTTAATGTCAACTCAATAGACAACAAATTTCAAACAGTATATGTTTTTATGTCTCTCACGTTATTCAAGCCATTCAGGGGCCATGCATGCAATTCCTACGTGCTCTTTGCGCAACACTTGTTGCATTGTGATCAGTAGGTCATATGACCAACAATATATTTCTACTTAATGTGTTTAAATTACGTGAGATAATATAACGAGTCAAGGTTATGATTATTAATTTATAAATTCAAGGCAAAAGATTGTAATCTGAAGTAATCAATTCAAAAATCGTGTGACACTATTCTCAATTGTCTCAACTATTTCTGCCATCTCTTTGGTCACAAAATTAATTATGAGAAATCCAAAATTATTTTTTCCTGAAACTGTTGCAAAGATACTATGCACAATATTTCTCCTATTTGGATTTCAAGATATGTCATAGTTTTAGAAAGTAATTAGGTTTTCCTATTCTTACTAACTCTCCTTAGCTATCTGATTATTGTTATATCCTTGACAAGATGTGCGTTAGGCTCTCAAAAATTGGAGAACTAAGTGTATGAATATAGCTAGTAGGTCTATACTTACATTTTCCACTATTGTGAGTATTCCTTCTCATGCACTGCAATACACTTTATTACCCTCCTTTCAGGCCGAATTTATAGGGAAATTATGGGGCACGTGAACTCATGGTCTTTCCGCAAAATTAGATATTTTATGTATATATTTTTTAAAAATTGGTATAATATAAACTGTTGGCACCCATACTTCAAGAAGGTTAAATTAATAGT